TCTACCCATGAGCCTTTGCGTTTTTAGCATGTGTTGTTGTCGTCGCTTGGGACTCAAGACTCAATTCCCGCGCGTGCGCAGGTGATGACTCTCCCGCTTTAACAATTCAAAACTTTAGAAATAGTTAGCATGAATATGTGCATATGCAACATTAACATCAGGACATTATATTACTATTGCATGTAAATATTTTCAATATTTTCTATTCCGCACTCAGACGGTGGATATTGGCTATGGTGACGTCATCCTGTTTCGGCAAGAATTATTGGAGAGAGCCGTAGGCATTTCAAAACACTCAGAATTCTTTGAAAATATCTATGAGAGTTTTGCTGACGGTTTTGATGAAATCGCTTCAAGGGATGAAGTAAGTATTAACTCTTTTTCTTTGTGTCATTTCGAGGTACTGAAAGTTACAAGATTGATTCTTGGCGTTTTATCCTCCAATTATTAGTTTTTTTTAAGGCAGAATCGGACTCATCATAAATCGCATGACACTGTTCATTGGTTTATTATGAAATACTATGAAGCTACTGTCCAATGAATCCATGAAATACCATTACTTTGTATGTTACAGTGACATATTTTGAAAAACTTGTCCTTCTATTTTTCAAAACTCTCCCATTTTTAGAACACGATGTTAAAGAAATAATGCATTCTTTACACTTTTTAAAAAGCCAGATTTTTGAAACAGTTTAGGAGAACAAAAAGTATGACTTTTGAGTGTAAACAAATTTAACTTGATTTTCAAAGTGCAGTATCATACAGCAACATGCGACAAACATGGGTATCAGGCTTTTCTCGTAGGGAATACCTTTGTATCTTATCTTGGTTTCAGCTGATCTATATAATCTTGTATATACTTAACTTCAGCTCTGAAAAAAAATTCGGTGCTCGAGTTATATGCACGACGGTGTATTGTCCACCAGACTCGTTAGAATTACTGCGCCAGGTATTAGCCACATACGAGAAATGGTCGACGTCGTCATAGTGGGCGCTATTTACATTCGGTCGTCGGTTACCCTCCAAAATACCGCCATGCAATAGCAAACTTGGATGGATTTGAGTAGACGTTTTATTATCAACGTTTTACGCAAGTGTACTGCGTGCTTCTGTATTACGCATCGTCCCTATTTTGCTATAGAAGTGTTTCTGACGGTTTCAAGAGGGCAGGCAATCGATGATTGAACGTAAATACCACCCATTCTGACAAAACCGTGGATACAGGGCGATGTCACATTATTCGAGCCAGGCTGTTAGTACAAAAATGAAATTTCACAATATATATGCATTTCTATTAATGTCAGTGTCACGTATTTCAAATGCGGATAATTCCCAACCTCTTTTTCACAGCTGTGGAATATTTTAGATAAACATAAAAGAGGTTTTCTGACTGAGAAAGATATACTAGATTTGGATGACGAATCTCTCAAGACGTTTTTTCGTAAAGCAGTCCCACCCGCTGGCCCGCTACAAGAATTCATAATCAGCGACGAGATCCACGAAAAATATTTGCAAGAAAATGACGTCGAGAGTGGAATTCTTGAACTTAAAGAGGAAGCAAAGAAGAGAGAAAAGAGTAAGCTGAAGATGCAGACAGTGAGCGACGATGATTCTAAAGATGAACTTTGAAAATGATGAGCTGGTTGAATTTGTGTAACTTTTCAAATCAAATTCAAATATCCTGGTGGTTGTAAGTAATACAAGTTCACACATTTCCTTAACTTTTTAATTTAAAATTATTATGAGAATTTGTTTCAATAATTTTTTGGTTGCGAAGAATTAGAATTAAAATAGTATACAACTTGTATGAACCCCGTTAAGCATAAAACCGAGAGCAAAATAGCGTGTATGTTGCATATACGTGGCAAGTGACATGCACACGTTTTCGCCACTTTGTTATTTATCGCCTTGTCTCATTTCGATAGTTTTGCGTTCATACACGCAGCACGTACAAACAGTTACGCTATTCTGTCCTCTGTTGTGTATCGATATCAGTATTCCTTTGTTTATATTTCTTACCTAACTTATTTAAACATAGCTTGTTTTATAGCTCAATATAAACACAGTGCTTCCCATATTATTAGTGGTGATTGCGTATCGCCGTTTGTACGTGTATTTTATAACTATGAAGCATCGTAAGATTCGCATGGTTTCTCTGAATGACCGTGCGTCCCTACGAACCCGGCAATCTGCATCAATTTAGAATTTGAACAGGTAGAATCTGCCGTCTTGCATTACATCATAGCTTATCTGACAAGAATACACGATTTTCTGTTCCATTTACCATGGAAACGCATCGTAGCTCGCGTTTCGTTGAGAGTATATACAGTTTTACAATATAAATTCAGCCATGGTATAATGGTAAGGCGCCGGACGAATAAATGAACCTTGGATGGCGAAGAAGACTAATCTTAACCACGATACAATATTTTCCTTAAAAAAATTACATATCATACAATTGAAATTAAAAATTAGGGCTTTTCTTATAAACATAATTATATAAATTTGTAAAAGCCGATCATCTGATTTCATTCATATTCAAATATTTATTAGTGTTTTGATGAACTTTGTCTACGCCAAAAATGCGCGCGCTTTCCTTCACGTTACATAGAAACTGCGCAGGCGGCCGATCACATATTCAAAACGAGGCGCTCGCTGGTTGGATAATGGTGAGCCATCTCATTAATATTAACTAGAACTAAAATTGATTTCACAATACAATGCGGGATTTTGTCAATTTTGAATTCTAACCTCCGTTTTGATTTATAAAAATGTGTATTTTTCAAAACATTTATGACGACCACAGCTTTATGACCTTTATTGTATATTCAAATACATACAGGAATGTACAGATTTGTTCTTGTTTGTTTGTTGATTAGTAATAAAAGCGTGTCAGTACAAATCACGGTTTTAAAGAGACAGTATGGGTGAGATCATGTAATTTGTTGTATGGCATATATATACATTTGCTTGTGAGTTAAAAAGTAAAAGTGGGTTGTATCTTGATCTCCTTGGTCTCCATGTCCACTCGAGACATACTTGATTAAAAGCTGAAAGTAAAAACATCAAGATGATTCATTACAATCAGAATAGATCATTTATTCATGAGATCGCTTCACAGGTCAGCCGTCTTTAGCTAAATTTGCATTTGCATTGTCACATTAATATACCGAGTTATTGACAGCAAAACTTGGTAAAAAATGTATTGCCATAGTTAAATCTTGCGTTACAGTATGCATCTTGCGAGACAAGCAAGTGTGGAATAAACTGTGGCATGAGGGAAACCCTGTAAAATATACTTCACTGAATATGGATGGGAGGACGGGGAACTGACTCCTTCTCTTGTCTGAAAGCTCAGCATGGACTCGTGATGGCACCCTTGCCACGCACCAGAAATCTGCAAACTTCTGCTGACCTATTAAAGGTCCTCAATCAACCAATTCCCGGTTTTCAAGTAGCGAATATTGGTTCTGCAAGCTTCTGCGTTTTCCGTAATCAGCCAAACAAGTCTAGAATGATTGACTTTGTGTCGCCCATAGACTTATACAATTGATGGCTCAGTTCATTCCGCAGTTAGAAAGTATACATTCCAAGCATTTGGCCAAGTCGAAATGATGCAAATATATAAAAAATATGGGCTGAGTAATTACGCAAAATCTACCTAAAATGTGTTGCTTGACAAAGTGTTGTATTGGAATGCAAAATACGTGTTTTTATTTTTTTGCTGCCTGAATAAACGTTTAATGTTTAATTGAGATAATAATAATTTTGTTTAAATTTAGAAGTGTTTTATTGGTGATTGTGGTAAGGATTTGATTCAAAGTGCCTGTGTAGGGGAAACTTGGGTATTTCTCGCACCAAGTCCACCGCGCGATAATTTGTTTTACGCACAATGGAGGACGTGGATAACCGGATTTGGAAACAAGGACGTGAGCTTGGGCGCTATTAATAGAGCTGACCAGATATGTCGTCATGGGAACTAAACCCCGGACACGCGCGTTCAGTCACACCACGCGGCTTTGCATGGAAAAAAAACCCAACTAAATTATAGTAAAATATAGTTCTCGAACACAATGAAATGTTACAAAACAAACGTATTACAAGTGTCCGGCTCTTAATTCGCAAATGTATAAACAGTTACAAAAAAAAAAGAGTTCAATTCTGTTCTTCTCTAACAGGATACAATTTCGGCCACATAAACACAGGGGATCGACATCTGTTCCTCCTGGGCTGTCGTAAGCCCTGGCATTACAGCAACGTCTTCGAGTCAATTCTCCTATGCAATGATGGGGAAGTATTCGAATAACACAAAGACAGACATAAACGTGTTTATTCGAAAACAACAACAACAACAACGGAAATGTTCGTTTACAGCAACAGAATATCTCGTATTTCGTTCAGTTCATTAACTAAAAGAAGATCCCACAGGCTATATTCCAAGCTGGTTTAAAGATGCGCTGTGAACGATTCAGTAAAAACGCAGACGATGATTCTGGTTCGCGCGGCGACGTCCCCCTGGTAACAGGGCTTATTGTAATTGAAGTAACGAAACGAAACGAAACGGGATGACAAACATACTAAAAATAAACTGTAATCAGAGAAAATGGGTTTTATATGCACAATATTTACTTAACGAGCCATTTACTATTTAAAATCTTATTTTCAGCAACTGAAAGGTGAATATACTGGCCATGTTGTGTCCGACAATTGTGAATATTGTACGTGTTGGACACTTGTTTCGCTAATTACAGATTTTTGAATATATGTAATTAGCGAAACGAACCGTTTACTAATTACAATTTCGTTATTTTGGACAAATATTTTGTAAATATTGTGCGTATAAAACCTATTTTCTCTGAATACAGTTTATTTTTTATTATGTTTGTCATTCCGTTTCGTCTCGTTTTGTTTCGTTTCGCTTCGTTTCTTCGATTACAATAATTGTTTAGGCCGACATGGCGGGTTTGGGGCAAAGTAGTTTTCGCAGTTTAAACTAGGTGCTCTTGAACAAAATTTCACCTTGCAGTGTCTTTTCCTGGAATCAAGGTCGATCTTGGTGTTCACAGTCACCATCGCCGGAATTTAGAGCCTTTTTCGTGAGCTTCCAAAACGCATGTACTTAGCCGTTCAGTCCATTTTTCAAGAGCTTTCGTTTTGTGAGCGGTTGGGCGTGACGTTGCGGGACGAACCAATCGTCGCAGCGCGTCTCAACGAGTGTCAATCAAAACGATAGTCATGAGGCAAAACCTTTTCATTACGTCACAAATACAGGTTACCATAATAAAAACGCACAGGCCCGTAATATCACGTAATGACAAGCTTAAGGTATATAAAGACAACTACATAGATATAAAGAAACAGTAAAATCACCCTGGTTTCATAGGTAATGCAGGAAAACATAATTAACATGAGCTGTTACAAAAACACAAAGGGGTGACACATTCTGAAGATTACTATACATTAAAGCGTGGGGTCGCCTGCGCATGCGTCAGATGGCCATAGCGTGTCATTGTTTACAAACAATTGTCTACCAATGAGCCTTTGCCCTTTTTAGCGTGTGTTACCGTCGCTTGGGACTCAATTCCCGCGCATGCGCACCTGACGACCCGCTTTAAGACTAGTAGTGTGGCAACACAAACCTAAGTTGTGTCAATTTCGCTGCCATGGTGAAATCCCGGGGGGTATTTATTCGGCAAAAAGTTCGGCACGCAATTTTGAATGAAAAAAAAATATCGTTAAACATTTTTGACCAGCCACGTTATCTGCATATTCACGGATGTAATCAACGTTCAATATTCACTAGTGTCAATTCCATGAAAGAATATGACAGTACTAGTAGGACGATTCGTTTGTAAGATCGTTCTCCGTTGTTTATCGGAATCACCGTAGTAATGGCACCCATTAGTGTGCGTGAAAAATATAGATTTCTCATATTTTAAGAAGAATAACATTTTCTCTGAAAATCTAGTACAGTAAACTATCTGCCTAAAGCTATATTCGTGTTAAAGATAACTTTTTGCATACCAAAATCGGTACCATCACAAGTATGGAAGCCCATTATCTTGATATATTTCATGTTTGTTAATTGGAAATATCTCTGAAGTTCTGACTCTGGCATGCATATCCTGGTTTGTGGTCACAGTTTGCTTGCTTACAAGTGATAATAACATAAATACGATTAATTCATCATCGATATTTGCTAAATATAGGCATCCATCTTGAATTCGGCTAGAAAATATTAAATAAAGTTTCCCACAGATCAGGGGAGAATATCTAACTATAAGGCCCTCGCTGATTGGACGCCTTACCTCGTTTGTGGATATGCCCCCTCTAGTCCCCGTTTAAAGTTCAAGATATGCTGATCTACTACTGTAATCTAATCCCAGTCATACTCCATCTAATACAACAGTGTTTGTATCGAGTCCGCTATGAGTGTCACGTATAACAGTTACCAAATTCTGATCATTTGTGCGTATGTGATCATTTTGGTTATATACCCTTTCCTTACTACGATCTATGCTATAAAGTTGGGTCAGAAAATATCGTTAATAGAAACGAAACTTGCGAAGATGAATCAAGAAAATAAAAATTCTGTACTATTTGAGGACAAGGAAGTAGTATCCATGAATGAGCAAGAAATACCAAAGTGCTGTGATGTAGATCAGAAGACCTTACAAATGGTAAATACTATTGTTTTTAGATTGAAGTGAAAAATTATAAAATGAAACTTAAATGGTAAATATACAATTATCAATACATTCAGCGAAATAACGTTTATTTGAACACAATGGTGACCAGGTGTGTATAAATGCACACAACTACTTAAGGATAATTTTGTATTTATAACGATTAACTTTCAAACATAAAATGAATCTGATCTTTTTCTACAGATTATGGAAAACGCCGAGAAAAAAATGGGAAACATCGAAATGAAAAACCAATTGGATGGTAAGAGCAATTTAGAGGTGGATGGTATATCAGATGTTTTTAATATATCGATTAATACGATTGTTTTTTTTTACTTTATCTATATGCTCAATCAGTTGTCGTACATTTATATCTAAATTTAATCAAATATGCTGGATAATTTAGTTAGGGTTGGGAACCATGTCTATTATTTTTTAATATACAGTTAATAATCACAACTCCAGGATGTAGCGGGTTGAGAACAATCTAATGTTCAAATTTGACTAATGTGTTCACCCAACTAGATTAATCGTTGAATAGAACATTTAAAATAATGTAAATGGTTACGGTCATGTAAGCATTGGTTTCGTTTGTTTAAACTGATCGCCCTTTACCCAATTCATTAACTAACGGATAAGATAATAGTTTTTCTCAAATTGCAGATATACGTCTAGAAGTAGACAAGCTGACAGCTCTATTGGCACGTTCAAATGTGAGTAATTTTAGTGGATCTTATGGATCAGCCCACACAAGCAACGCTGCAATTCATCTAACAAGTAGTCATAAAGGATTCAGTAAGTGAGATTTGATTCATTGTAACACGACATCATCTTCGACATATTTCTTTTCAATCAGTAATATGTCGTTTATATCTATAATCTGTAAATATTTCGATTCGTTTTGTCCGCGCTTTGTAGATGTGGGGGGGGGGGTCTACAAGTTGTCTCACGAAGTTAAGTTAGTTTCACCAAACTACTCATAGTTCATAATCATGATATGGTTTTCCGCCTAAATAGATTTCCGAGAATGGGGCATTGTTTCAATGATAAAGAAAATGAAAATTACAGAGTATGGGTATTGATAGGGGATTTCCAGTTCTCGATAACGTCTCACGTGGGGCGCGAGTTTATGACATTCAAGGTTATTCACTAAAATAGCTTTAAATATGTCATAAGTACTAGTTATCTGAAAAGATAATAATGGATTAATGTCAATTTTTTACTTTTGAAAAACGAATTACCATTGCTAAGCAGATGATCACTCGGTGATACATGGGCTATCTTTACTATGTATAATATGAGCTATAATATCATAGAAAACACTGAAAATGGTTTCTTCAAGTTGGTTAAATGTGCACTATTGGTTGTACATTTCAAGACAAATCGAAGAGCATGCGTCTGGGCTTTGTAGTGTGGAACGGGATTTTGACGACAGTCACGCCACTTACAAATAAAAAAAAATCGTGGAATTGAATGTTCAAATACACTGTTTCTTCAAATTTTGGATAATTGTTATCGAAATTAATTTCATTTCAATTATTTCCTTTATTATTCCATGTCAATGTTTTTTTAATTAGCGTTTTGAAACGAGGAAGTGAAGTAAATGTTACGAGCACATGTGGCCAAATATGCAAAATTGACACATACATTCAAACAAAAACATTAATTGATTGTTTTCTATGTTTGGTTGGCCATTATAATATCTACGCATGTTTTCTAACACAGATAAACCATTTGACGGAGAAGTGGAAGTAAAGATTGGACCATGGGAAGCAAAACACGGGATCACATTAAAATATGGTATTACCACACATGACCTCGGTATGTACATGGTAGCGCCGGAGCACGGAATATATTATATCTATAGTCAGGTGAGTTTGTGTTATGATGGTAGATGGTTTGCGAAATATATGTTAAGAATTGGTAATAAAGATATACATTTCGTTGATGTGTTTTAGGCATATTTTCAAGATGAACGGGAAGGAGAAGATCGAAAGTTTGCAAGTTGGAAAGACTATCTACATTATACAATACGTGGTGAGTGTGTTTTTCAGAATAAGTTGATTTTTTCTCTCTAAATTTCTACTGATAAGTTTTTGACACATATTTCTGAATCATTCAGATATGTGTGTCTTACGCGCATCAATTTAATCAGCCGCCGAACACGTCTCCTAGATACACATAGACACAGGAACACAGGAGTTTTACACTTGTTCTGAACGGATCTACACATTGACATTTTTTAGAGACCGACGCTTATCAGGATCCCATCACTTTGATGAAGAGCGGTCGTGCCGAGAAAATCGAGAAGACATCAGATCTCTACTACAGCAGTTACCATGGTGGCGTATTTGAACTCAGAAAAGGAGACAAGATATGTATGAAAGCATATCTACCAAGAAGTGGTATAAGATTGGATTATCGCCAGGAGTCGACGTTCATGGGAATGTATTTAGTCAACGGCTTGTGAAGATTTCGATCAACGCCGATATTTATGAACGAGAAGCATTTGTTTTAGCGCCCCGTTACTAAATAAAAGCAGCTTCTTTCATGCGAAGCTACTAGTGTTTTGTTTATTTTAATTATCTAAACATATTTCGTTACCATGATATCAA